CATAAAATAACAATAAACCTTATCTGTCATTGCAAATGTAAATCTAAAGGAATTTTGTCTTCTGAAGGATCCATCACTAAAGACCAGGGAGCAGCTTGTGGCCCTGGGAAGCATTTTTTCCAGGAGTTAAACAACTTCCCACACAGCCAACAATGTACTTTTATATAGATACATGTATTTATATAGTACAGAGGTGTCAAGTAAGAAGTACGAATACTTCATTACTGTACTTTAGAACACTTTTTAGGTATCTATACTTTACTCCATTACTTATTTTTCTTCCTACTTCTGACTTCTACTCATTACATTTCCATACCAGTATCTCTACTTTCTATTCCTTACGTTTTTAAAACAAACGTTCCTCGTTCCTCTTGGCTTCGGTTTAATGTTTCTAAATATTTATTTCCCGTCATGTGCTCCATCCAATGCAGATAATTGGCTCCACCCACATCTAGTGAAAACTAGTGTGATTGGATGAGTCATAGAACGCAAACACTCATTGGTTAGCTAAAGGAAATCATCAGAAGCAAGCAGGTGTTCTTCAAACTGCTAACCTGAATTGTCTATGCCATGCTACAATGTGGGATTCAGAAAAAGATGTTGAAAGGTCTGAAAGGTCGGACACAGGCGAGAGCGTATCGGGAGACGGAGACCAACAAGACCTCCCTCATCCTTGGCCCTATCTCAAAGAATTTTTAAAAATAGTCAAAAAATTGAGCTTTCAGTTTATATAGTGGCATCTGGCTGTTTTTCTTAAGGTTACTTTATACTATTATACTTTAAGTAGTTTTTGGAGCAAATACTTTTTACTTTTACTTGAGTAAAGAGGTGAAGTTGAAACTTGAAACTGCAGTATTTATGCTTCTACTTAAGTAACAAATGTGTGAACTTTTGACACCACTGATATAGTATATGTTAACATAACATTGGACACATAACCATCTTTTACAGTAAAAGGTGCGGTTGCATGAACTCATCACCAGGGGTCAGTAACTACCCATGAAATTCATACATAGAATTACAACAAACCAGATAATTTTAGAGAAGAAGTTCAGAGCAATAATGTGAAATGGCAGATGGAAAAACACGTGGAAAACATGCAGAAGGGGAGATGGCATGACCGAGTATTGGGACCAGATTAGGAGAAACATTTACTAACAGACTTAGACAGAATTATTTTGTCTTTTTGTATACACATGTGTACAAAATGACATTAACAAGGAGAATAAAGTCATAATATAAAAAACAATCTTTCTTTCTTTCTTTCTTTCTTTCTTTCTTTCTTTCTTTCTTTCTTTCTTTCTTTCTTTCTTTCTTTCTTTCTTTCTTTCTTTCTTTCT